TTTATAGGTACCTTTCTGATGAAATTTTATCAGAATTGTACATAAAATATTATAATTTTATGTACATTTATTACATTCTACTGTTATTTGTATTTGCATTCATCTTATTATTAATTTTGATATTTCATTTATGGAAAAATGTCGTAACTGAGATTAATATAAAAATAAGATCATATAAATTTCATAAGATGATACTGATACTTGTAGGTACCCTTCTCAGTTGAAATTGAAAAATCAAATTAACTTCTCCACACGTGTTTCGCAAAAGTAAAGGCCTTAACAGCGGAGAACAATGCTTAACTCAAATAACGCAACTTAATTATATTCTGGTTGGTCTTCCGTATTTTATAATTACAGCTCGATTATAAGCACAAAATTACATTTCTTAATTACTGGGTATCTTCTGATTAGTCAAAATGATACAATTTACAACGCGCTAAAAAAAGATCTATCTCATAAGGACACTTATGAAAGCCGATGCGGCTTTTAACTAATTTTATAATATTTTTTTAACAACTTAAATGTAAAATCTATTATAATTAATGAAATAACAAATAATTGTATTAAAATTCATTTTCATCGAAAAAATTTTTTTGCTTTCAGAAAATATTGTCCATATTCATAAAAACAACTAAAAGCAAATAAAAGCATTTGAAATTAAATAATATCTTTTTTTTGAGTTTTGTATGTTACAATTCAGAGCTGATTTTCAGGTACTGCGTATCCAATTAAAAAAACAAAAAAAACATGATTTGCATTCCTCAAAGCCCTGTGCTTTTAATTATTGTAATCACTAAAACCGATGCGATCGAATTTCTAGCGTTTTCATAAAATTAGTTATGGGGGGGGGGTAATAAATATTTTAAAAAAAATATTTCTACCATGACTTTCATAAAAAAAAACATTTATAATAATTTCGATCATCTGTGAATAGTTTCTGAAAGTTTCATTAACATCCTATAATTATTTCTATTTTTGCACGATTTTTCAAATTAATGTATGTCATACCAAAAGAACGTGCTAAAAATTGTCTATGTTATTTACTAGTTCCGCTGATACAAATAGAAAAAAGGTTTTTTTAATCAAAATTTAGTATGTTCTAAAAAGAAGGAAAATTTTAAAAAATAATTAAAAAAAAAACTTTGGTCTTTCCTCTTAATAATAACATAAGCATTTAGACAATAAAATTTAGTTTTCGGCAAGTTTGGCGTCTTTTTCATCAAGCTATGCTCTTTTTTTAGCGATTTCGTGGAGGTACCTATCTTAAGGCCGTGAAATAGGACAGTTTAGTTAAAGCATGACCTGAGGAGTATAGCGGGTGGCCTATATCAGTATTTCTCAATCATTTTAATGAACGACATACCTAAGATCAAATGGAAATATCGCGGCATATTTAAAATGTTATGAAATAAAACCATGAATTTAAAAAAATACGCACACAAATATGAATTTTATTTTATTTCAGTCTTTCTATTCAACTATTTGTTCAGAGCAAAAATTGTTGAATACAATTATATGAAAAAAAATTAATATTATTTAAATAAAGGAAAATTTACTGAAAGTTAAATTTAAAATAATTTAGTTTTTAAAATGAATATTAAAATAAAGTATTTAAAATAACGCCACATTAATTCATAGTTTTTAAAACTTTTTTTTTTTTTGAAGGATTGTCATCAAAATTTTCACCTCCTCAATAATAATAATGACAAACGGTAACCATGACCTTTTCTATCGTTGTTTGGATCTTAAAATTCTTCGATTGTGGACAAAACGAGTGCCGAGATTACGTTGATTTATATGTTCTGCGAATGGTGTTATCGTGTTTCAGTAGTGACAATTCATTCTAAAATCTTATCACTTGAAAATGCTGCAAAATCAACGTGGAGGTGTAAATTCAATATCGTGTCTGATCAGCATTCACACATTTTGGCACCCATTTGACTGACGGTTTTTGCACACACAACAGTTATATATATATATATACCCTCACTAAAAATTGTTTCTCTGATTTAAATTAAATTTAAACAAGGGAATAATTCCTATCCAAAATATAGGAGAAAACCCAGAAGATTAAGGTCACATTGCCAAGATCTTTGAGTAATATTGAAATGCATTTTTTTTCACACAAATTATACCAGTGATTTAAAATCAATCATTTTCTTACAAAAAAATGTCTGACACGCAGCAAGGCGCGGGTAATTCAGCTAGTGAATAATAAACCCAGCACATTCCCACAATATCTCCGGTGTTTCAGGAATTCTTTTAACCATGATTTTGAATTAAATGCTTGATTCTTCTGATAGAACTTAACAAATTATCATACTTATCCGCCCAAAAGTATGATCGTGTTCTTTTCTGGCTTCTTCCTGAGTTTTAAATTGCTGCTTCTGTGAACAACTCAGATGCTGTAAATGCATATATTGTGGTTTGGTCTCCGGATTATAATCACGTAACCGTGTCCTATCAACAAGAACATCTTGTTCGAAAAAAAAAATCAACTCGTTGCCGTTTCTATTGGTATTCAAGTATTTCAGTTATCCCTTGTTTGATATTTGCTACATACTCAACTACTCATAAATTGTACTCCCAACACATGTAACGAACTGGTCAGGTTCTCATCTGTGCAGCGTTTCTACGACCACACTTGGTCATGGGGCTTCAGTTGATGATCTTAATTTGACAGACAGTAGGAATAATCCAATTTTCCTCTTTTATTTCATATCTTCCAAGTGCGAAGAGCTTGCCTGCTTTGAAAATCCGCATTCAAAGTACTGGCTTCTCTTTAATGGGAACACAAACTTCTGGGACTTGTAATAAATACGCAACTATCGAGTGACTCAGGAATTATTCTGCCCGAATTTCATAAATTAGCCAACATTAGGTCACGAACATGGCTTGAGAGCTGACATCATTCAAGGCATCTCTGACCATACTGCCTATGGATCTAAAAATCTCCAGGCTGGAAGTCCATCACTTTTGAGTATTGTCATTTAATATTTGCACCAGATGCTCGTAGATTGCCTTCGGATTTTTCTTCTGTAGGAAGACGAACTTCATAATGGCCTATAGTTCAACACCTAAAATTTCCGCAATTTTCCTGATGGATCTCAGCGATCTCAAACAGATTGAAAAATAAATGAAAGGCTCACAATAATTGACATTTTTACAATATAAATGAACTCCCTATTCATCTTTCTTGAAACTATAACGTTCAGCTTTTCTTGAATCGGGTAAAGCTGGTAAAGTTTCCGCGCCTCCTTGCATGTGTTTCCATAAAAGAGAATTATGAAACAGGTAGATCCCTCGCTAATGTAGCCGCTGATTTTTGAGAAGATATATTCTTTATATAACAAAGATTTACTTTTCGACATCATTCATTCCCAATAAAAGAGATAAATTCAATTATGAATATTACTCACAACATATCTATTATTTCATATTGAATATTTCAGACAAATCATTTAGTTTCATTATTGACCCAGGTCGAACATCCATCACAAATCTGCTCCATTATTCGCAATTTTCTGTAACTTTCGATAGCTTGTCTGTTTTCAGTCTAGTATCCTCCATGAGATGGTCGATAAATATTAGGGCTGAGCTTCCGTGACTACTTTTTCCATGACGAGGATCCCATATTATGGCTCTGTGGATAATTTCCTTCGTGTTGCACCAACAATATCCTGAGAACAGTAGCCTTATAACTCTTCCAGATATAACGTCATATAATAATTTTGTATCAGGCTATTCACAAAAATATTTGCGTATTTATTACCAATCCCAGAAGTCGGTGCTCACATTAAGGAAAAGCCAGTAATTTGAATTCTGATTTTCAAAGCAGGCAAGCTTTTCGCACTTGGAAGATTGAAATAATACGATTTTCCTCGTTCATTTCATATCCTCTTCTAAATTAAGATCATCAGTAACAACCCCAATGACCGACAGCTGGGCACCTGACCAGTTCCTTCCAAATATCTGAGTTGGAAGTCTGAGAAATATTAATTCATGTGTAGCAAGTCTTTGGCAAGTAGACCTGGCGGAGCCTATCCATCTCCAGAATAAATCACAGGAGATAACTCACAACTTGAAGTCTCGCCTTTTTTATGGACACATGGCCGTTGACTTATGCCGAGGAAGCTCTCCAAGCTGTGATGTCGTGTTATCCTCGCATTAGTTGCGTACATAGCTGCAGAGTCCCGTTTATCCTATTGTGCTAGGAGGCCGATGATCCCAAAAGAAAGTTCATCTGGCATTTGACTGAAATGTTGTTTGTTTGTTTGTTTGTTTGTTTTGTGTTTATTGTTTGTTTGTTTTGTGTTTGTTTTGTGTTTGTTGTTTGTTTGTTTTGTGTTGTTTGTTTTGTGTTTTTTATCTCTTCTCACCAAAAAAGCCTGATGGATGAACCAGTTTAGTCACCGATGATCAGACTAGGCGACATGAAGCATTGTGATGCATGGAATCAATATCACTCATAGAGTGACCTGACATAAAACTCAGACATTGCTTAGAAAATACATTATTTTTTTTTGTGTATTTACATTCAATGTCAGTTTTTCTCGTTAGTATCTGGGTAAGAAATCAGTATTTTGACTTCACTAAATTCCATTTACTTATTCAATAAATCAATACTTAAGTTAACTTACTAGAGAGATAGATAGGACTTGTGATTGTAAATAAATGTGATTCAGTTGAAAATCAAAAAATGTTGATATGTGGTTTAATTTGGAGGTGGGGAAGTGTTGATTTTCTCCAGGAAGTTCCTTATAGAATGTCTTGATAAATGCCACTATCAAGTTGTCAATCTTGACTAGATTCCTGCAGTAGTGACTTCATGATTGCATCAAAAGGGAGTGGCGCAGTACTCTTATGCCTGAATGACAATGGTCGCGGGGACTGGGTAAGTCCTGTCTTTGTCTTCTTTGTAGGTGTATTGACACTTTCGGTTCAACCGACTAAGTGTCACCTCTGACTGTCGTTGTGTTGATTCCATTTGCTGATAGTTTATGACAAGAGGCAAAACTCAAAGTTTATTGTTGTTTTGGGTATTTATTTATTTTTACTTCATTTGTTGGTTTTATTTATTTCTTTTTTTGTCTCCTTGTTTATTTAAAGATTTTTTTTTTCTGTTTGACACTTTTTTTTCGTTTGCTTTTTTTCTGTTTTCTTCGTTTGGCTTTTTATATATTTTTTTCATTTGCCCATTTGTTTTATTTTCCGTTCGCATTTTTTTTCCTTCATTTGCCTTTTCGCTGTCCTTCGTTTGCCTTTTTGCTGTTTTTTTTCTTCCTTCGTTTGTCTTTTTGCTGTTTTTTTTTCTTCCTTCGTTTGCCTTTTTGCTGTTTTTTTTTCTTCCTTCGTTTGCCTTTTTGCTGTTTTTTTTTCTTCCTTCGTTTGCCTTTTTGCTGTTTTTTTTCTTCCTTCGTTTGCCTTTTTACTGTTTTTTTCTTCCTTCGTTTGTCTTTTTGCTGTTTTTTTTTTTCTTCGTTTGTTTTTTTTGCTTTTTTTTTTTCTTCCTTCGTTTGTCTTTTTTGCTGTTTTTTTTTTCTTCCTTCGTTTGCCTTTTTGCTGTTTTTTTTTTTCTTCCTTCGTTTGCCTTTTTGCTGTTTTTTTTTCTTCCTTCGTTTGCCTTTTTGCTGTTTTTTTTTCTTCCTTCGTTTGCTTTTTTTTTGCTTTTTTTTTTTCTTCCTTCGTTTGCCTTTTTTTTGCTTTTTTTTTTCTTCCTTCGTTTTTTTTTTTTTTTCTTCCTTCGTTTGCCTTTTTTTGCTGTTTTTTTTTTCTTCCTTCGTTTGCCTTTTTTTTGTTTTTTTTTTCTTCCTTCGTTTGCCTTTTTTGCTGTTTTTTTTTTCTTCCTTCGTTTGCTTTTTTTGCTTTTTTTTTCTTCCTTCGTTTGCCTTTTTGTTTTTTTTTTTTCTTCCTTCGTTTGCCTTTTTGCTGTTTTTTTTTCTTCCTTCGTTTGCCTTTTTGCTGTTTTTTTTTTCTTCCTTCGTTTGCCTTTTTGCTGTTTTCTTTTCTTCCTTCGTTTGTCTTTTTTCTGTTTTTTCCTTCGTCTGACTTTTTTTTTTTTTTCGTATGCCATTTTGTTTTTTGTTTTCTTTTGCCCTTCTGTGCCTGCGTGCGTGTGTGTGCTTTTTCTTCGTTAGCCTATTTTCTGTGTTTAATTCGTTTGCCCTTTTTTTTTTTTTTCTTTTTTCGTCTTAGTTTGCCCTTTGTTTTGAGGATGTCCTTTTTGCTGTTTTTCTTTAGGTTATTAATATATTCATAAGCTATTTGATGTCTTGGTCAGATATAATGAGGCTTTTCCAAATGATTTACGTATGATAGCTATTCTTCCTTTTGCAGTATGCTCTGATACCAGTATTAAAAATGTCTGCATATTTACACACCCCCAAAACTTTTGTCTCTTCGTGTAAAATATTCAGCAACTGTTTCATGGCACAAAACTAAGCAGAAGCAAAACGATAAATGTTAAAGTAGTAATAAGCGTAAACTTGGTAAATGGCTAACAATGTTTGACAAATAAGGATGCCCAAAAGATTATTCTTCCAAAACAATTGACTTCTTCCGCCATCTTTATCTTTACAAGTGTCAGATTAGCCCTCGAAATAGAATATTGCTACCATAACTGGGCTGTAGCTGCTCAGTCATCACTTTCCAACTTTGACAGTTCAAATTCGTTTACATGGTCTTATGGGTTGGTGGTGGATTTAGTCATCACTCATTACTATTTGCCACTGACATAACGTCGCAAGCCTATCGCAATTTCTACGGTAAATTTTATTTCCAGCAGTTAAGATATTTACAGCAAGGACACGCTATGCTACTTTCACGAAGTCGAATCACCCTCATTTCCTCCATGGTTCAAAATTCCGAGAATTGTAATCTGGTGCGGGGATAATCTTGTGTAAATGCTTCCCTGTACACTATAATCTGAACTGCTGTAATCGTTATATATCCTCTTTATTCTCATAATCCTATTTCATCCTCTATTATTTGTATCGTACGTTTCATTCATCAGAACCATTTTAATAATAGCCCTAAAGGTTAATATTGTTTGCTTATTCGAAGTTTGCAATAACTGCCAGTGGTTGGTGTTCAAAACCATCATTGCAAAAATTGATTTTCTAGATAATCTTCAAGCGTAGATTGATAGAATACAATATTCTTCCACCTGTTAAACATTTAGATACCTACTACTGTCTTCGTCTTTGCTGTTATCATAACGTTTCTGCCTTTGTACCTCATCGGCCTTCATCAGATGTATATCGATCCGGATAACCAACAGGGAATTTTAAACTGAACCATTTATTCAATCTACGGTGGGAGATTATTCTCGTTTCCCAGCTCATGCCTGTACTTGAACTCGGTGGAAAGCAGTAACAGAAGTACTAAATATGAACTAAACGAGATATCCCTAGACATGAACAGTAGGACGAATATACACCCGTAGATTAGATCATGGGATTAGTTCAAATACCTTGTAAGTTACCTGGATTTACATACACCTGATTAAGGTCGAAGAGTACAATGGCTGAAACGCTGTGATGATGATAAATTAGGACAATTTTCAGCATGTAAATAACACCTCATCCCAGAAACTCAAACAGAAATTATCAGTGCTGAACTCCATGAATAACTATAACAGCAAGTTTTTTTTTTCCTAGTAGTTCCTCCGCTCTCTGATATATAACGTCTTGGCTTTGCGAAAGATTTGGAAAGATACAACAATTCAATTGTAGGAATGTGGGATTACCCTCAGGCCTGTCCTATTAAAACTTGAAGGTGATATGCCTGACTCCACTGAGTTGAGATGAAGGGAATAACGTTTTAAGCGTTTTACTTGAATTTCTTTCCACTAGTTAGCTGACTGTAGAACTCTGTCGTCTCTTCGATGCAGTATTAATAGTGTATGGTTAACACCGATAGAAGGATACTCGCGTCCTGGACTGAGGTGGTTTTCAGTCATTATTCTTCTAACGAATGAACTGGCAGAACTTTTCTTACTAGTTAATAAAAGAATATAATAATGGAAATGCAGTTAAAAGTAGAAATAAAAATACATTTCAAAGTATTGGAAGTTTACTTAAATTTGAGACTCTTGCAGACATATGTAATAGCTTCGACAGTAACTGATAATATAAATGGAAAGGATTTTTTTTTCATCAGGGTTCCGCTAAATAAGTGGGGAACATGCACCTATTATAAAGCTGCTGAGAAGAACCTGTATGTATAAAGCTTTCCTATCCCGTCTCAACCTCATAAGAACGATGTGCCAATTATTGTAAAATGATCTCATCTGGAAAATTAGAAATACAACGTTATATTATTTTTAATAGCGTCTCTATATTAATTTAATGGAGAACTGTATGTTATTTGTCAATTGACGTCAATCAGAATTTTTATAATTGAAAAAACGAACAGGTGGCAGAGTGGTTAGAGCGTTCGCTTTCTGAGCATGATAGCTGGGTTCGAATCTCACCATGGTCAATTTGTCAGGAAGGCGACTTCTTGATATTATCCGGATGCCCGGTAAGAGTAGCCGGCCATCCAACCATATTTTTTAAAAAAGCATTAATATTTGTTTGTGTTTGCTTCCAATAATTGCCCAAGGAACCGTGCCAATAAGGAATTCGCTTATGTGTATTAGACGTTAGGCACCTCAATGTTGTGTAATAGTAAGCTTGTCTCGTCAGAAGAGGTACGACTGAATAGATAGATCGATCCTTACTGGGTGTCTCGTACTTTCGACACTTAGAAAATCACAATCTGTATGAACTCTTCTGATAATGTAGTAAAAATAGAACTTTTATATTTTAGAATTAATAAAAAAGACATTTTTGTCTTAAATTTGTTCAGCTCTCAGATTGTAATTTTATTCATAGTATATCGAAAATTTATAATTGTATAATTTTTGTCATATGATTTTATTAAGTCCTAAGTAATTCCATTTTTTTTCTGAGAATTATTAAAATATTTCCCAAGTAATGCCAAAATAGGTTGCATACATGAGTGTTCATAGCAAAAATCTCCATAATCACACCTAAAAGCCGAGCTTATGGAAGAAACTGTTGTGAGTCTGGTGGGATCATCGGGCATTATTTGTTTAGTTAAAATACAATGAAACACTAAATGCGCACACACACACACACATATATATATATATATATATATATATATATATATATATACATACACGTGTGTGTGTCGAAAGCTTAGATCGAGGAACAGCATAATAAAAATATACAAATGTTAGATAGTTTTTTTTTTTTTCTCCCGAAATTGAATCAACTTTAGAACAGCTCATGATCATGCATAAGACATTCGCTGTTATATTTAACATATATATAAAAATATGTGCAGCAGCTGCAACGTGTCCATAAGTTTGGTCATAAAACATCCTGTGCTTGTCAATAGGAAAAAATGTTTTCCATGATAACGCAACGCTGAAGAAATAAAAAAAAAAAGTCACTGGAACAAATTTGGAAATCCGCTATACAGTATATACTCGAGTATAGGTCAAGATTTTAATATTATTTTTTTTTCTGACGTCAAAATGTTTTTTTTTTTTTTTTTTTTTGTAAAGATGTACTATACAGAGGTGAATTTTTCTGGAGGGGGCTAAAATTCGCGCAAAAAGAATTCATGGGTTACGCTATATATGAAGTCGGCTTATGCACTAGTATATTCGGTTTTCACTTGACATTGCACCAAGTGATTAATCTCTTTTTCGACCGTTGCAAAATGCTTCGATGAGGAAGATTTTCTTTAATTAAAACCAAATTCAAGAATACGTTGAAAGACTTTTCGTATCTAAACCTGCGGAATTTTGCAGAAAAGATATCGAAGATCTGCTTGATAATTGGCAACGAGTCCTTTTAGTTGATGAAAAATTCATTTTACTCCCGGTTTTTTTTTTTTAATAATATTCATAAGCAAAAACGGAAACTATTTATAACTCATACTAATATTTTTCTTGACACTATATGTAAACTAGTTAGAAAAAACAGATTGCACATAGTTACTGACGAAGAGTTATATCAGTTTCAAAAACATAAGATTATTTGAAATTCCTAATATTGTTTTCCTGAATTCAGTATTATTGTGCTTAGTTTAGACAAAAGAACTTTTGACCCGGAAATGACTCTCGGACTGCTGACATGCTAAAGTTAGATCCGGATTCTGACAACACACAAAGGTATTTTTGAATGCCTAATCCGCATAGTAAAATAGTCCCACAATCGTGATTATATCTGATCCATAAGAATCAGGATTTGGAAGAAAAATCGAACGGTGAAAGACGGAATGATAAAGCGTCTACAAGATTATTCTTGCAAAAAGCAGATTGTACCGGCTCAATATCTCGGTAAATTCCCGACTTAAAGCTTAAGTACTATCTTCTTCAGATTTCATCGAATAGCACCAAAGTATTGATTTCCAGGCGAAGTTCATTGTATCGTGCCAGATTGCCGACGATCTTCAGCGATTGGGGACGGAGGTGTAGAAGTAGTATGAAAAACTCGAAAATGTAACATCAACAAAAGGGATCTCATTGAATAAATCTGTACTTTGTTTTAAAAAAAAGAAGTTATTAATTACTCACATAATTGAAAGGTTTTATTTTATTTATTTATTTATTTACTAGTTTATATAAATGGTCCATAGAATTTAGTTGTTAAATACAAATATATTTTCACTAAATTAGTTTCGCTTCCAAATAAAGCATATGTATTTACTATTTCTATAATACAATTCCTGAACTTATCTTTTAGTAATAAAATAAAATAGCATTTTTTTTTTTTTTTTTTTTCATCAAATGGAACCACTAATCTAGAGCTTAGACGTCAATTTGACGGATTCTTCTTCTTCAAAAATAAAGAGTGGGTACATTTACTTAAATTCATATATACAGTAAATTGATGTGTATATATATATATATATATATATATATATATATATATATATATACACACGTCTGTTTAACTGCACTGACTTTTCGAAATATTGCTGTCTCTAATCCAGTATTTATTCTACAATATTTCACTTTATTCAAAATCAATAAAATATTGATTGATTTTTCAATTTCCATCGGTCATTTTTGACTAGCAAAGATTTCAGTCTCGAAATACAAATACACTCTGTTCTG